TATAAGCTAATAATTTCCCCCGTTTGTTTTGTTTGTTTGTTTTGTTCTTGCTGTTCAAGGACTGCTCTGAGGTCCAAGATGGAATGCCTAGGAATACTGAAATGTTCTGCAGCATTTTTTTGTGTGTGAATTCCCATTCCTAATGTCTCATACATGTTCATTTAGTCTCTGGCTCAGAGGCTGGCACTTTTTTTCTTGATTTTCTTCAGTAATTATTCCAAGTTTTCGCAAATTTTTGTTAGTAATGTGTCATCTGTATATCTTTAATTGTTGATGTTCGTTCCTTACATTCTCACACCTCCTTCCTCTAGGTTCAGTCCTGCTTTATATATTATATGTTCAGCGTACAAGTTAATCACGGTGATAGAATGCAGCCTTGACTGAATCCTCCCCTTCCAATTAGAAACCATTCCATTTCTCCGTATTCTGTTCTGACGATAACCTCAGGACAGAATGTAGAAAGACCAGGACAATAAAATGTTGTGGTACACCCATTTCTTTATGAGTATTCCATTGTTCTTCTTTTTATTTAATATTTTTATTCAGAGTTTCATAATAAATAAAAAAATCCAATTCATAATAAATAAAAAAATCCAATCCTACTTTAACATTTTCCTTGCTCAATTTACATATACATTTGAAGTTTCTGTTCTTTCAGACTTCCAAATCTTTTGCCATCTACATGGAGTAACTATAATCTCAGATCCATAATTTTACCTTTGAACACATTATTGTTTAAATATAAATGTCCAGGTGATTTAAACAGCATTTGACTTATATAATAGTTGATCATCACTTTATATCAATTACTTATTGATAGCATATATATGAAATAAATACATAATTTTTCATGATCTGCACAATTTGTCATAATCTATAAAACACAGGCTGACTTTCTGAAATTATTTGGTGTGCTCCATGTTGGAAACATATGTTGGAAGTGCTCCAACATATGTTTGCAGTATGATCGCTAGTGCTTCTTCCTTTCCTTAACCTAGTTTGGACTTGGGCATTTCTCACTCCATATATGATAATAGTCTTTGTTATAGAATTTTGAGCATCACTTTGCTTGCATGGGAGATTAATGCAATGGCCCTGTGGGTATTGCCATTTATTTCTCCCAAGTGCCCAAAATGCAGCTTCCACCTCACTTGCTAAAATTGTAGGCTTATCTTCAAATGGTTCTTCCTTGAATGAATCTGTTGTCTACATTGTCTTTATTTCTAATTGGTCATGTAATGTGTTCCCATGCTGGTTTTATTGCATTCTTCACTCATAGTTTAAATATCCCTTTGACATCTTGGATCTTATGGAAGAGGTCTCTTGTTCTTCCTTTTTATTGTCATATTTTCTATTGTAGTAGTTCTCTTTGTCCCTGTGCACAAGTCACTGAACAGTTGCATTCAGGATTCTGGCCTTATTTCTCTCCCCTTTTGTTTGTCATCTGTCATCTTGGAGAGTCATCTATCATCTATTGATGCTTCTCTTTTTTTTTTTCTGGCTTTCGGTAGTGGCTTTTGTATTCTTCCCTGCCAGTGCGCCTGGCTTCAATCCAGACTTTGTCTGGCTCCTAGTCAATTAGTCTTAATAGTGCAAGCCTATTTTTCACATTATCTTTAAAGTTGACATGATGTTCTTCAAGTTTTATTTTGGCACAATAGCTGGCTTAATTTTCTTCTTTAGCTTTATTCTAATTTGTAATATCAGTAGTTAATTGTCTGTGCTACAGTCTACTCCTGGTCTTGTTCTTGCAGAGAGAATGGAGCATCTCCATCTTGCTTCCAGTTATGTAGTCTATTTGATTTCTGTGTTGGCCATCAGGTGATGTCCATGTATACACATTCACCTTTCCTTAAAAAATGTGTTTGCGACAAACAAACTGTTGGCGTTGCAAAATTCAGTCATTTGATCTCCTGTTTCATTTCTTGACCCTAGGTCAAATTTTCCTGGAATTTTTGATTCTGCTCTGTTTCCTACTTTTGTATTCCAAAAGTATTCCTATTTTTTCATGAACTCCAGCATAAAATCTTTCAGTTTCTTCTTTTGCTAACACTTTTCCACTATAGTGCCATATAGAGTATTCAAACATAATGTAACTAAAGTATGTTTTATTATAGCCAGAACAGATACTCCAGATCTGCCACCAGATTCTGAACCACAGCTTCCATTTTCTTGAACCAGTAAAACCAGTGTTCAGGGAGGATGGAAGTTTCAATCCAGCAACATTTGGAACAGCACAAGTGTGCCATCAATGTTTTGAAGATTCAGGGGTGTTTTACTGCAGTAGACTTTGGGATAAGGCTGATACAGGGATTATGGGAATAGTCCTTTTGGAAATTTCTGAGCTAGAAAATAATCTGTAATCCCAGTACACTTGCCATCTTGTACTTGTCATGAAGTTGAGCTGTCACTGCTAGGATCTGAAGCAGCTTTGGACCAAGAACCATAAGAACTGCAGACCAGATTTCCCAGGAAGCTTTTGAAACATTTTGGCTAGAAGATCAAAGCATCACTGCAAATCTAGTCCGAAACAGTGTTACTAAGTAAAATCTAAAACTCCAGATTATGTCTGAGGATGTGGGGAAGTCAATAAGATAATGAATTGGTTGAGGACAAATGCAATGAAATGATGATGAATGCAGAGAAACCAGGCCTGACCTGGGTGTATTTATATTAGTTGTTATTCAAGCCTAATCTAGATATATTTATGATAGCTAGAGGACTGTCTTGAACTGGGGGCCAGGTGAGAGTTTTAGATTATAATGACATTAGTCTGGATCAGTATGCAAAGGGATCTTGTAGCATCTTTGAGATTAACTGAGAGAAAGAAGTTGATAGCGTAAAGTTTCACAGACTTAAGTCTACTTCATCAGATGCATGGAGTAAAGAGACCAAGTAGTGACCTACGTCATTGTGATTTATTAATTTAAGTTGCTTTACTTCCTTAATTTTATAATGGGTGCCATTTTGATAAATGATAAATATGGCAAATATCGGAAGCTATATGACAAATTCAGGAGGCAAAGTTTTAACATTCTGTTTAATGTCATTGATCAACTGTGGCCTAGGAGTATCTTCATTCATATACTCTATTCTTTCAAATGCTCTACCAGTTCTTCCTTACTTCACACCAGCTTCTCCCTGTAGGTAGGAGGCAGAACTACATTGTTTTTCTGCTCTATGTTTCTAAGCTGCTTTATTCTCCTCTTTTATGGTTTTATAATCTTCAACTGGCTTTGTTTTTATTTTATAGATATATCTATAGCCAGTAGTCTTGGTATTTCACATTATATTAGGTATGTGCTTAGTATGTAAACTACACTTAGTCGTTTCTTGTTGCTAGTGCATGAATTTATGGGGTTTCATCCACATTAAGATGATATGTTTATTAGGCTTTCCAAAAGTACACAAAGTTTTAAATCAGATAAAGGTGTTGCTGAAATCAATTTGTGGAGAAGGAGGAGGTTGGGTTTAAACCATTATCTCAAGTAACTGTAAGAATTTTGAAATGTTAGACTATTTCTTTAATGTACATGTTCAGTTGTTTCAGTCAAGTAGTTTGGGAGACATAGCCACATCAGTGTGTGATGGCCAATAGTGCTAGATTGTTTCATTATGTTTGACATTGGAAATGTAATTTTCTTTTTAAAATTGGTTAAATTGTGAGAATAATCTTTAATGTGCAGCGCAGAACTGTTCTTAAGCATCAAACTTTTTAGCTAGACTTAAATGTTTGTAAAGGACATGTGAATAATTCTGTCAGCTGTGAGATACATCTAAGGATAATTTTACTGGATTCACTTGCTTCATATGTAGTTTTAGTGTGTGAAAAATAATTTTAACTGTCACCACAATTTTGAGGAAAAATAAAAAAGACAAAATAGGAAGCACATCCTTTGGCGTCCTTCATCACTCCAATTAAAAAGAAATACATGTTGTACTTCTTATGTGGGCTGATCATGTTGCAACAATTTGGTCATATTGCAGTAGGGGAGGCTGGTGTTTGGAACTAATTCACCAACACACACATTGGTCTGCTATCATAACAGAAGATAGTTATTACTGTTAGCTTAGATTACTCTGGCTTGAGCAGCAGCAATGTGTAACAGGATGGTGCTGGTGGAGAGTGCAACAAAATACTGCAGCAGAGGAGTATTTTCTGGAAACTAGCCATTCCATTTAACTCTGTGGTCTTTGAGTGTGCTTAGTCTTTGTTGGGCTTTAAAAAGGAGGTTCCCTAATAAAAATTTTTTATACACACACACACACACACACACACACACACATATTTGCTTGTTTGTTTATTTCTGGAAACCACACGGCTTCTCTGACCCTACTGATTCTTCTTCTCTCCCATATACTGGTGCTGTTTTGTCAGTTCCAAGACCAGCAGTGAGTGGATTAAAATTTGTAGTGTACGTTTAGATTTATACAAGACCTTTATTGTTTGCTTTGGCTGCAAAGTAAATTCAGAATATATAGCGCCTCTTCCTTTGTGCCATGAACATACAGCTTTGTTTTACAGCTTCTAAACATCCTTCAGAGCAGTCTGTAAAAG